CACCGCCCCAGCCTCGCTGCACCCGGGCACGACAACCCAGAGTCCTCAGCAGGCACACGGGACCAGCTCAGAGCTGCTGTCTGCAGTTTTGATTCCCAGCCCGGACAGCACTCACTGAAGGTAGACCCAGAGATTATTGAGTGGAGCAGAGAGGAAGAGAAAACTGGTGGTACAGAGAGAAATTAAAGCGCAGTTTTTTAACTTAGGAAGACTATGGGTAGCAAATCCGTTCCATCTGTTTGGCAGCCCCTGAGCTACATTTAGAGGAACAGACACAGTAGTGACGGATCTGAGGGTCAGCAAAGAGAAGTACTGCTGTGGATTTACTCAAACCTGACCCGGTTGTCTAACAGAAGTTTTGCTTTTGTTTTTGTTCTGTTTTGGTTTTTTTTGTTATTGTTGTTTTGTTTTTTGCTTACCTTGTAAGATATAATAAGAGAGTTAGTCTTTTAAAAAAATAATCAAAATTGACAAATATTTAGCTAAGGACACAAATTTATAGTCACTCAGGAGGAATAAGCTGTGGAGACCTATTCTACAACATGGTGCCTAAAGTTAGAAATAATGCACTTGAAAACTGCTAAGGCCAGGCATGGTGGCGCACACCTGTGAGTCCAGCACTAGGGAGGCTGAAGCAGGAGGATCGCTGCAAGTTTGAGGCTAGCCTAGGCTACACAGTAAGTTCAAAGCTAGCTTCAACTACACAGTGAGACCTAGTCTCAAAAAAAAAAAGCCTTAATACAGCTGACCCCAAACCAAAACACAATGAGAAGAGTTATCCAGCCAATTATTGACCCCAAATTGATATGCAAGTTTCACTTGAGCACTTGTGATTTTTGAATCCTAAGGGCTCACTCCCTGCAATTAGTTTCCAACAGGAATCACCCCCTTCTCCAGAATCTCACCTCTCAATGGATTTATGGATTCGCCGCCACTGTGGATAATGAGCTTCCTGCTCAAAGCCGCCACCTTTCGCTCTAGCTTGCTGGGCCACGTTTAGAGACCGAGTATCGATGATGTAGCCTCGCTTGCCTGCCCTGAGGGTAGCATTTATCAACTTCTCATCTTCCTTGCACCTTCTCCCGTTGGTGCCAGTGAGTGGCTGGCCACTCCGCATGATTACCTAGAAGCACAACAGTCGGACAGTTCAACAGCAGATGCTGTTAAAATTTCTGAAAATGGGAAGGGGAGTAGGGTATCTTGAAAACAACTATGTGGCAGTTTAGAATGGATTGGATCACAGAAACAATGCAGTGATAGTAGTTAACAACTATAAAGCAAAGATACGCCTTGCACTTTTCCACAATTTTTCATCCTGTTATCTCAAAGTATTTTCACAAAGGAAATTATATCCTCTCTTTAAGATGAAGTGTAACAAGTCAGCTAGTCCGTGAATGGGACACCTGGTAGACCTGCCCTGTAATGAAGACAGCAATGGCCCTGATTGTGTAGGAGAGTATACCACTTCATTCCAAACAAACGCAGACCTCCACAGACAGAGCAGTGGCTCTGAAAAGCTGTCTGCTGGCTGAGCATGGTGTCAAGACACCTGAATCCTGGCTAACCTGGAGGCTGAGGCAGGAGGATGGCAAGTTTACAGTGAGCCAGGGCAATTTAGCAAGATCCTGTGTCAAAAGTAAATTTTAAAAAGGCTGGAGATGTAGCTCCGTGATGGAGCTAGCGCAGGGCCCTACGTTCAAGCCTGGGTAGTAGTTCTGCATACTCACCGTTCCATTTTTTTTGTGATAATAGCTTAGCACTGGGAAGCGCCCTCCATGTCGAAACATAGCTACTTTCCGAAGAGCTTCATCGTCGATGCATTTGGGCACTATGACAATTGGTGGATATGAAGGACAGACAGCGAATTCCTTATTGACATAGCTTAGCCTCCATTCACTGGTCTGGAAAACACAACACACTTCAAAGCTAAGCAAGTATCTTTATGTCATAAAATAATCTGAAAAAGTTTCGAGGACCTGAGAGAACACTTTTCACAAACGAAGAAGCCATTTCTCAGGAATCTAACTGAAGGGTCTGTACCCTACACTTAATACCTCCAGAGACAGGAAGCTCAGCACTGGAAGGCCAGCTTCCCACACTGCTAGGGATCACCAGTTCTTAGAAAGTTCTTCCTCACGGTGAGCAAAACCTGTGGCTCTGCAACTTCCTCTATCCATTTTTCACTATCATTTCAGACAACGCAGCTTCAGTTCCCTACTTTACGAAACACTGTATTAAATATTTGACAGTTACTTCCGCTGAAGTCCTCTGCTTGCCAAGTTGAATACACCAGGTTTACCCATGATTACGGTGGACAACATCATCCTATTTGTCCTTTTCTGGGTCCATTCAGTTTGTTAATGGTCATCTTAAAACAGAGCACAGCAAGGCTGTGATACTCCAGACAAAGCTTACACAGAATAGACTGAAACAGAGCTGCCACCTATATCAAGTAAGGTCTGTACCCTTTTCTTAAATGTTAGATCTTCTTCCTTTTTTATCCATGCAGGTCTCTCACCTCTCTTCTCTTCTACCCCGACATCTTTGCGAGACATACCTGAGAAATGGGGCTGGCTGATGTTATCATCAGAGGGTTTTAGTTAGTGCACAGTGCAGGCGCTGACCTGAACGATGGCTTGAAGATTAGAAGACTGGTTCACTTTCACACCTGACTCCAAGGTGGACCATGAGCAGACAGTCTGTACCAATCTGTACAAACATGTTTTGGCTACCAAGCAAATCACCCAGACATCTGCCCTCCTGATACCCTGACTGCCATCTACCCAAGCAGGAAGTAACTAAGGATTCCCCCATGGTAGTTACTATGTAGCTGTAAGGAAAAAGCATCACACATGGGAGAACGTTTACAATGTAGTTGTCAAGGCCGACCCCTGCCCCACGGATATAAACTAGGTAGTAACTCGCGAGCTGGGCAGTAATGGTCCTTACGTGAGATGTAAAATTCCCTTTCCTTTCTTACGTGGCTGCTGTGGCCAGCTTTGCCCATTAAATTCCCTGATTCCCTAATCCTGAGCTGGGCAGTAATGGTCCTTACGTGAGATGTAAAATTCCCTTTCCTTTCTTACGTGGCTGCTGTGGCCAGCTTTGCCCATTAAATTCCCTGATTCCCTAATCCTGACCTCGATTCCCTCAGTGCCCTCAATTCCCTTGGTGCTCAGTGATAGAAGAAGGAACCAAAACATGCACAAAAACAGGAAAGAACACCTGGTTGTAGCAAACTGCACTTGACAGCCCAAATTATGAACACACACAATTTACCCTCAGAAACGATGTGCCGGACGGTTCTCCACTGCTGTCTCAGGCACACTGTAGGCTCAGTTCACCTTTTAGGAATGCTTAGAACCCAATCACTACATATAAAACTGTTTCTAAGGAGACATTTTAAAATACCCAATAGTTAACATGCAATTTGCAGATCTTAATGTTTTGCCAATAGAATTTCCGCAGTTTAAAGAGTAGTATGTGGCACATCTGAGTGTAACAGAGAGAAGCATTCTGGCTGCAGCACTCACAGGCGATGCACACTTCGGGCACAGACAAGTCAACCGCAGCTTTTACACTTCAAAGGGAAGGGGTCATGTTCACAGGTAACGTCAGCTGTGGGGCTCTTTCTCTTTACCACGGTAATGACCAACTCTATGGAGTCGACAACCCAGTTTCCAAATGCTACTCACAGCGGAAGAGTAGAGTTCAAACTCCTGCTCGGGAAGGAAGGAATGCCAGCCGTCCTCTATCACCTCGAACATTGGTCGGTAGAAGAAAGGGTACATCAGAGTGATGGAGTCCAGGGTGGACAGTGCCTGGGGGCAGACAGGGACACAGAGCACACCACAACTTCAAGCACAACCGCACTGACCGGTAGGTGCTAGCAGGCACGAGTGGCCTGGTGGTGATGGGTACCCTGACCCTGCATTCACCGCGCCATACAATTACAGTCTCACTGAAGCGAAGTTCCATGCCTGTAGCAGGAACAGGACATCCCACATGTAACACGCACTCAGCACGTATTCTCTGAGTGAAGTAATGAACCCAAAATGTGCACATGTATTCTAGGACAAATATGAAGTGACTCTTGGCACAATTTAATAAAACTATAGAAAAAAAGGTCTCAGGACGTCCGGGGATCAGAGTACGAAGAGTTTTTGGGTAGTTATATAGCTATTCCATTGTTAGCTATATAAACAAAGTGAGCTACTTATAATCAGTGCCTCTTAGTCACTGTAGAACAGCAGGATACAGCCCCGTGGGCAGGAGTCAGACCGAGGGACTTAGGTTCCAATCCAGCTGTGCAGTGGCAGCTCAGTCCGCCTTCTTTACCACTGTGCTTCAACACAGGCGGCGTCTCCAGCGCCCACAGCTGGCGTCTCGCAGAGTGAGGACACACAGCAGACAGCAGAAGGAGACTCCAACCTCCTTTCCTGGAATACCCTGCCCCCAGGCTCCTCCGAGGGGGAGGGTCGGGGTGGCCTCCTCCCACCGAGCGGGACGTTATTTCCACTTAACAATCTAGAAGCTGCAATGGGGTCTCCTTTATGCTGGCAAATTTGGCCAAATCAATACCATAAGCTACTTCCAAACAACAGCGGTATACGACCAACAGCCCAGGTCATCTTCTCATTTCCGGAAGTAAAATTTAGCACAGGCAGAAAGAAGAAAGTTAGATGCCATTCGGTGAGTACCACAATGGTTGCTCCTACTTCTCTGCTTGTTAAGGCCACACAGAACCCTAGGCTCAGACTTTCAGAGCCGCCTCCCTCTCTCGTAGTTGTTGTTGCTAGTGCCGACCATGGAAATCAGAGCCTCGCACAGGCTGAGCGGGCGCTCTGCCCCACCCTCCACCCCAACACTGGGATCGAGCCCAGGGCCTGTGCGCTGAGCCACAGGCTGTCTTTATTTTCAGGGTCCCACTAGGTGGCAAGTCACCCAGGTTGGGCTTGAACTTGTGATCCTTCTGCCTGTGCCCCCAAAGGCCTGGGATTACAGGTGTACGCCGCCATGCCTGGCCTCTCTCCCTCCTTGCATCAGCTAAACTCATAGCTTCTTCCTGTTGTTGCTGACATAAGGGCCAGAACAGGCAGTTGCTCTGAGATACAAACAAATAATGTGTCTGTACAATTATCTAAAAAATACTATAAACACAAGGATACGTGATATAATATGGTGATGATTTAAAACCAGGAAATTTGAAATTTGACTATATACCACAGTAGCTAAAAACAGGAAGAAAATAGTGTGAGCTCTTTAACTGAATATTTAAACTATCCAAGTTAAATTTCTATTACTTGTGATCCGAACCAATGTTCAATATTGTTTATTTAAATACAAAGCAAATACCTCTTGCTTTAAGAAAACAAATATGAATGATTAAAAACAAATATGAAATTCAAATTTACTACAAAATAAAGACTACAATTAGAGGTGGAAGTGACTTGCTTTGGTCAAAGACATCTGCTACAAAGGATAGGAAGATACAGCTGAATGGACACTTAACAATAGTCAAGGTGCTACACTTTATATCAAGAGGTTACTTTTGCTATAAAGTCTCACCATAAAATTATACCAAATAAATAACAGAAGGCCTCCAAGTGTTAGCTACTATTTGTAAGTATTAAGATAGTAAATTGTGTGTTATATGGATATTTTTGCTACAAAGTATTAGTATAACACTATGTCAAATAAATGACAGAAGGCACTCAAAATGCTCTGATTTGCTGTGTCTTATACTAAGCATTCTGCATACAGAGACTAATATAATTCTTATCACAGCCCTAAAAGGCAGGTAATATTATCCTCATTTTATAAAAAGTAGGAAACTAATTGTCAGAGAGGTTAGTCACAAGCTAGCAGGTAGTAAAATCAAGACTCAAAGTACTATTGTAGTGATCATGTAACATTAACAGTACTTCCAGTCAAATGTGTAGGGCTGCATCCATCACAAAAGATTATACTACTGTAATACACTCAAGATAAACACCTCGCTCTCACTGGTGATTTTCAGTGTCTGAGAAGCCCTGAGTCAAGCAGGAAAGAGTGAGCCAATGGGGGCTTCCGCATCTCCCCAGAAACTACCCATTAGGACCGGACCAAAAGCACTTCTGACCATACTTGTTTATTGGATTAAAGGTCCACAAAGGATGTTATTTGAACAAATCCATTAGAGAAGAAACAAATGTTCATAAACTATCTTTGACACAGAGGAAAATCCCAAGATTTATACAGTAAATAGGAAGTGTCAAGCAAAACTTTCAGATTTCTCCTAAGAACTTCTTTTTTTTTTTTGTCTTTTTGAGGCAGGGTCTCTCTATGCAGTTCAAGCTGGCCTTAAGCTCACTTTGTAGCCCAGGCTGCCCTTGAACTCGCAAGGATCCTCCTGCCTCAGCCTTCTGAGTGCTGGGATTACAGGCATACACCACCATGCCCAGCATCTCTTAAGAACTTCTTTACTAACTTTTCTAATGGTTTTTGCAAATAAATACTCAGATACTTGTGTGAAACCGTGTCTTCTTTTAGACCAATATGGACTCATGAAATTCTTAAAAAGGCATTGGAATACAGTTCCATGGAATTTTAAACAGCTCATGGAATTAGGGTTACTCATATAAAACAAGTAATATTAAAAACTGCTAAAGTAAAAAAATAAAATAAAATAAAAATAAATATAAAAATAAAAATACTTATGTAACAGGGAGTCAGGGTAACACTTTTCCTACCAGTCTTCAGTATCAGAGTCAGAGAACATGACCAAATATTGAGAAAAGACCCATATTACCTGCTTTGGGTCAGAATATAATTTTTTTTTGCCATCATATTTTGCCTCCAAAAAATGCATAAAATTCATACGCGTTCTTGTACACCAATAATGAACCCACTGGGAAGGAAATCAGGGAAACAATTCCATTCACAATAGCTTTAAAAAAATTAAATATCTAGGAATCAACCTAAAGCAAAGAGGTACAAGACCTCTTCAGTGAAAATTATAGAATACTGAAGAAAGAAATCAAAGACATTAGAAAATGGAAAGACCTCCTTTGTGCATGGGCTAGAAGAATTAATACTGTGAGGATGGCCATACTACCAAAAGTAATCCACAGGTCCAGTGTGATTACTAATTAAATACCAGCAACATTTGTCACAAAACTAGAAAAAAAAACTATCCTAAAATTCATATTGAATTAGAAAATGACCCAGAATAGCCAAAGCAATGCTGAGCAAAAAGAGCAATGCCAGAGGATCACAATGCCGGTTATCAAATTATATTAGAGCTATAGTAATAAAAACAGACATAGAGACTGATATTCCTTGTTTAACAGCCTACATGGTTAATGACTGGACTTAATGACTGAGGTGTGCTATTAAGACTTTTGACTTGCTGTTCATACTTGCAACCTATGCTTTTTTCTTTTGTATACCTCTGTACATACAGCCTCAATGTCTTTTGTGGTACAGTATACACTGTTTACATAGTACTATAATTTTTGCTATTTGTACTATACAGTACTATAGTATATATTCTGTTATACATTAACTACTGCATGTCAGAGTTATGCAAATAAAAACCAAAGTCATCAAGTTGGTGTTTCTTTTGACCATTTCTTTGTTCAAAGGAGCCAAAAGTATACACTCGGGAAAAGAGTACCTCTTTCAAAATGGTACTGGGAAAACATACAGAAGATTGAAACTAAACCCCTCTGAGCCTATACTAAAAAAAAAAAATCAAAATGGATCAAAGACCTAGATATAAAACAAGAAACTTTAACACTGCTGGAAGATACTCCAGGGGAATCACTGGAAGCAACAAGCACAAGCAAATGCTTCCTGGACAGAACTCCAATAGCACAGGAAATATCAAGTCAACAAAACGGGATTATATCAAATTTAAAAGCTTCTGTATAGCAAAGGAAACACTCCAAAGTTAAGAGACAGTCTACAGAATGGGAGAATTACTTTGCCAGCTGCTATTAACAGAGAACTAATACCCAGAATATATCACAAACTCAAAAACTTTAACACCAAAAAACCAAATAACACAATTACTCAGTGGGCAAATGAACTGAACAAACATGTCTCAAAAAAAGTAGCACAAATGGCCAGTAAGTATATGAAAAAGTGTTCCACACGTTTAGTCGTTAGGAAAATGCAAATCCAAGCCACTTTGAGATCCCGTATTACCCTACTCAGGTCATCAAGAATACAAAACCAGCAAATGCTGGCAAGGACTGCAAGGAAAAACAGAACTCTCCTACTCTGTGGGAAGGTAAACTGGTACAACCACTATGGAAATCAGTGTGGCGAGTCTTCAAAAAACTGCAAATAAAGCCACCATTTAGGGGCGGGGATATGGCTCAGCAGTACAAGTGCCTGCCTGGCAAGAGCAAGGTCCCGAGTTCGATTCCTGCTGCAAAAAAAAAAAAAAAAATCTCTTAATTCTTGGGGCTGGGGGTTTAGCTCAGCGGCACAGTGCCTGCATGGCAAGCGCTAGGTCGTGAGTTCGATTCCCAGTATCAGAACCTGCCCCCCTCTGCCGCCAAAAAAAAGCTACCATTTAATCCAGCTAAACCTCTCTGGGATATACTCCCAAAAGAATTCAAGTTTACTATTAAGGAACTAATTAAAGGAAACAGTTCACTATCATGATATTTACTCATAACTGCAGTCTACCATAGCTAAACTGTGGAAACAGCTTAGATGCCTATGAACAGATAAAAAAATTGTGGTACATATACACAACAGGCTCTTATTTTTGCCATAAGAAAGGATGAAATCATATCATTTGCAGAAAATGCATAGAAGTAGAGACCATCCTGCTAAGTGAAAAAGCCAGACTCAAAAAGTTAAATACTGCATGGTTTCTTACATGAGGAACCATGAATGAATTAATGATAGACAACAGGAAACTACAGGGCAGAAATTTGGAGGTAGGGAAAGGGATCAAGGGTGGGAGACAAGAGTAATGAGATTTAAAAATCATCAAGACATGTTAAAGTCATGTACCAAATTCCCAAAAGAAATCTCACCATTCTGTATTACTCACATGTGGTTAAAAAAAAAAGACAAAATAACCTTATCAACACACACACACACACACACACACACACACACACACACAACTTACCTCAATGGAACTGGCTATATTTAAACATTCTTCCATTCCAGGAATATCCAACTGAATAATTCGAAAATCTTTACATTTTATGATGATTGTACCCAGTGATCCCACAAATCTGTAAGAAATTATAAACCATGCTTAAGAACACATATAGTCCCAATTAAGTTTGTAATTAATGTGTCAAATGTTTGTAGAGAGATACTTCTAAAGCATAGGAAACAGTTCATTTCAGATGGGACCTACTTCTGAGCATGCAACAACCCATTGAAATACAAATATATCTTTTCAGTACTTAACAAATACTAGCTTATAATCTCTATATTACACTAAGGAAAACTTAAGAATAAATGCCATATCTAATCACACATTTTTGTATTGGTAAGTTTTGTACAAATTTAACTGTACCTTAGTTGGGATATCTGGGTTTTTGTTGTTTTGTCTATACTTACAATAGCTGATTTTATTTATTTATTTTTTTGCCTCGCTACTGACTGCCCCCATTTCTCTTCCACTAATATTTCTGAGAGTATTCCCTAAACTAGGAACTCTTAGATTGATCACAATTTTACCACACTGACAATTTTATTTGCACTTTACCCAACTTAGAAATACGACTCTTCCCGAGTCCCACTTCACTGTCTCCAGTCGACACTGTGAATGCTGGTAGACAAACATCAGCAACATGGCTCCAATTCCATTACAGCAAACGCCACCGTCTTCCACAACTGACCGACACGAGGGAATGCCTCTAAGAAAATACACTTCCAAACACACTCTTGCTACTTCTACTTCCATTAAAGGTTGGGATCACAGGGACTAATTTACTCTCCCACTTCAAACCACCAAAACGAGCATACAAAATATAAGGAACAACTGGTCCCAAGGCAGTGACTATCAAAAAACAAAGAGCAGTGGTCCCTGGGAAGCAGAAACAAGGAGAGTCCTGTGAATTCTCCTGCTCTGAGAGTTTCCAGGCAGGCAGGATGAGGAAACCAGGGCAGGGCCAAACAGCCAAGAAAACACAGGTCACCAATGAGAATGTAAGATGGAAAACACAAAGAAAACTGCGGAGATCTGTGGAGGGTGAACCTCAGGTGCTCAGCACAATAGTGACTGGTGCTTGCATGAGAATAAATCACCCAAAGCTGCTACTGTGGTTTGAATGTGTTTCCCAAAGTTCATGTATTATAAACTTAATCCGCAATGCATCAGTACTCCAAGACTGGAACCCTAAGGTGAGCAAGTCATGAAGTCCTGCTCTCTCATGCTTGGTTATCCTTATGCTATGGTTAACACAGTACAGAGGCCTTTGCCAAATACTGGCACCTGGATGTCAGACTTCACAGCTTCCTGAACTATGAGAAATAAATTTCCTCTCCATAAATTACCCAGTCTGTAGTACTGTATTATATAGCCAACACAGAGCACACCTGCTTAGAAAGAAGCAGCTGAGAGCATCAGAAGAAGCAGATTTCAAATAGGCTCCAAACAAGTTCATCAATAGACTGCAATAACCTGGAAACTTACAAGGGACCAGGCAGAATCCTCAGCAGGGTGCAGTGGGAATGACTGCCCTAGACTAAGCACTGCTTCAGATCCACCTTACAAGACCCCTGGGCCAAGACTCACAGAGGCCAGATGACTTCTAAGTGATTTAATTGGATCCCAGGATTAAACTAAAGAATATTTATAATAATACAAATATATTCAGCACCTGTCAAGGCAAAATGTGCTGTATCTGTTACATAATCAAGGATTACTACGTGTGCAAAGAAATGGGAAAATACGACTTAAAATGTAAAAAAATGAAAAAGTCAAACCAAATTGAACACAATCCATAATTGTCACAGATGTTAGGGTTAATTAGAGTAAATTAAAAAGGTTATAACTTTGTTACACTATATGTCAAAAAAATTAGAGACACAGAACATAAATCTTTTATAAACATATCTGTACATGAAAAAGAATCAAACAGAACTTCTAGAGTTAAAAATTATAATGTCTAAATAACACACACACACACATACACACACAGGGGTTGGTATCATTAAGAACAGATTAGGTAGAAGAAAAGGTAGTGAAATGGAAAACCTAAGAATAGAAACTATCCAAAATGAAATTCTAAAAAAATTTTAAAAGCACATTAATGAGCCTCAGATTGCAAGCACCCCCACATATGTGAAATTGGAGTCTCTTGAAAAGTAGTGAAAGAACAGTCAAATAAAAATGGCCCCACTGGGGATTTAGCTCAGTGGCAAAGCGCCTGCCTGGCAAGTGCAAGGTCGTGAGTTCGGTTTCTGGTACAGGAAAAAAAAAAAAAAAAAAAAAAAAAAAAAATGGCCCCAGATGGAAGCACAGATTTACATAAAAGAATGAAAAGTACTAGAGGTAGTAACTACATGTTTAATTATATATTTTTTTCCTATTATGTAAGTTGATTTGAAACTTTTAAAAAATAATCATGTGTTGTGAGGCTTATGATATACCTGACAATAGCAGCATATTGTTGAGAGAAAAACAAAATATTTATGATAAGGTTTTGATACTATACCTGAAATAAGTAGTGTATATCACCTGACAGTAGACTATGATAAGTTAAAGATTATACAGTAAACTACAAGACAAGCACAGAAATAAAACAACAAAAAGTAAGAGCCAGGCATGGTGGAACAGCCTTATAATCTTAGCACTCTGGCAGGCTAAGGTAAGATCACAAATTGCCCTGTCTGGGCAATTTGGAGGCTCAGTGAGACTTTGCCTCAAAATAAAAAAAAATATAGAAGGGTAGGGCTGTTGCTCAGAGCAAAAGCCCTGAGTTCAATCCCCAGTGCTGAAAAAAAAACTTAGTAAATCAATAAAGAATCATTTTTTTAAAAACACAATCCAGAAAAAGGCAGAAAGAATGTGGAAGGGAAGAGATCAGATAGAACAAATAAAAACATATCTCACTGTGAGATATACCAAGATGACAGACCTAAATCTAACCATACTAATAATTATATTAAATATAAATGAGTAAACATAAGCGAAATAAATCAAACATACATGTGCAAGCACCGCATTGTTTCTCTAGTGTAAAGCCTGAAAGAGTTAATTTAAACTAGGAGATATGACAGACATTGGGAATTGATAGGAAAGCACTCATAGGTAAAGGATAACTGGAATATGGGAAAAGAGAAGGGAAAGAAGGAGAAAGTTTGTATATA